CGATGTGGGGAGTCTGTGCACAACGGTCACGTGAGCTGGATTTTTCTCTGCGACAGCAAAGTACAGCATTGTGACGGAGTGAATCACGAGATATGATAATGATTACTATTGATTATACTGTACAGGCTGTATTGTCAAGCGCATGATACAAAGTATCGATGCAAGGCTACTAGATTAGTAGGCCTTGCATATATTCACAAGGCAAATTACGGACGAAAGCTTATAGGCAGCATTCCACAAGCACAACTGGGCCTAAATGTTGGGGAGTCGACTGAATCTTTATTGGTCTTCTGACTATGCGTATGCCTTCCAAAGATGACATGCTGCTCCTTGCGCAGCAAATTTTTCCAGTTCCATGCGCCGTGACGCATCGATGCACTTTCCAGCCATAGCAGAATCCCAGACCCTTGACGAAATTTTTATTCCTTGAGCGACACGCTTAGTCGAACAGACCGAAGCCCATGTCGTCGTCGGACTCCTCCTTCTCCTCCTCCTTGGCGGCGGCAGGGGCCTCCTCAGCGGCGGCACCAGCAGCACCGGCAGCAGGGGCGGCAGCGGCGCCAGAGCCACCAGATGGGACAGAGGCGAGCTTAGCAGAACCCTCAGAGATGAGCTGAAGATTTTGTCAGAACGTGCTTTTGCAATGTTGCGGTTACAAGACCAGATGTCGATTCATACCTCCTGGATGTTCTTGCCGGAGAGCTCAGAGATGAGCTTCTCGACGCGCTCAGACTCGGTCTCGATACCGACGGACTCGAGGACGGTCTTGATGTCAGCGGCAGCTGGGGACTCGTTGCCGCCGAGCTGGAGGAGGAGGTAGGCTGCGAGGTACTTCATTTTGAAAGCTGCGCGAAACTGTCAGATGGCTGATTTCTATGCGCAAAATAATACATCGCATTGATCGAGAGGATATGCTCACTGTTGAGATGGTCACAAGAGATTCAATCGATTTAACCGCGGGTTTGAGGCGGAGACTGAAACTTCCTGTTCGTGATGAGTTGCAGACGGAATCAATTCGATTAATCGCAAAACGAAATAGAGCATTGTGGGACCGACCGTCCCGAGAAGTCTTGGCATTAGCCGCGGGCCAAATTGTCGACCCCCCATCGATTCGCTTCTGGTCAAGTGTTTTGTCAAGCTCTGTCGTGCCGCAACCATCACCATAAGAAGGCTCGCAGGCAACTTCGCTCTGGAGCAAACACTCTGTCTTTCACTCGTCCACTTCCTGATACATCTCATTGACATCGCTTCTCCCGAGCGACTGTGGGCTCTCTATCCGCCACCAAGCGCCGGCGCATCACTATTTGCAGAATGTCCCAGTCTGCTCCTTTCGAGATCCATCACTAGCTTCTCTGCAAGACTCACCCTTCACAGTCTGACTCAATATGAGTGTCGGTACCGCGCATCCGTCTTCTCTTTGTCTTTGCTGATCTATGCGCAGTTATTAAACTCCGTCCTCTCCTCCATCAATATCGGCCAAGAAGGCAGAACGACGAACCCCTCCGCCAATGCTCCTGCCTCGAAACCCAATCCTGCGCCACGGAGAGACAACGGTGCCCTTGGCGCCGCTAGACCGCCGGCTGCCTCTACGAATCTACCACCCAAGCGAAAAGCCGAAGATGTTGAGAGAGATGTGAAGAACAAGGCCCAGCGTGTGGACTCTACTGCAACACTCTCCGCCCCGGTCTCGCGAAGCACCACCATTTCTCCTGCGCAGAGACAGGGCCTGGCACCGCCGCCGAAGCAGCAAGTGCCATACCGAGGAACCATGGGCGGATCAAGGCCAACGCTTGCCACTGGAATCGCGCCGAAAGCCACCACGAGCACCTCCTCAACGACTCCTACAACGCCCTCGGTCGCACCCAAGAGCGGTTATCTGGCCACTTTGGAAAGGGCCAGGGCAGCACAGGAAGCTGCAAAGCAGCTCGGCCAGCTCAAACACAAGCCTACTGAGAAGCTTACCAAGAAGGACCGCTTAAGGATGCAGGCAGAGGCCGCCGCGGCACAGAAAGGAAAAGGCCCTGCCGCAAGAGGTGAAGCAGGTGTGAAAGCTAGAAGTAAGAGTGCGGACCCTGTGGATGCAAAGACTGGAACAGTCAAGAAAGAACGTAAACCTGTGGATCTAGGCTACAAGGGAACGATGCGCGCCGCTCCTGCACCATTCTCATACAGCGGCACCATGCGGCCAGCCGGATCTGCGGCCGCTAGGAAACCGCAGCCTGGACCATCAAAGGGAATGGGAGGCAGATATCGTTACGCCAGCTATTCTGACGAGGAAGAGGAGGAAGAGGAGGATTATGAATCAGAATCAGATATGGAGGCTGGAATGGATGATGTGGATATGGAAGAAGAGGAAGCGCTTCGCATCGCCAGACGGGAAGACGCAGAGGCTTTGCGCGAGGAGAATGAGCTGAAGCGTGCCAAGTTGGAGAAGAAGCGAAAGCTTGAACAGCTTGTTGCTTCAAGGAAGAAGACCACTCGCTACTAATTGACTGTCCGTTACAGGGGTGCGGATGTTCAAGAGTCACGATAACATGATTTGGTCGGTGGCGTTTGATACCTGGTATTGACATTAGCGAAGCATTCATACTTTGAGGGAGGGCTACCGGCGTTGCCACGAGCACTTCCTTTTCGAATAGTCACACTGGCAGTTGCCTTTTCCGGCCTGCATTGAATATCAGATTGTATATCCCACCCAACATGCTCTTTTGCCACGTCTCGACACGTCAAAGACAATTACTTGTCGCCTTTTTCCACTTGTAAAGCGTGTAGGGCAAGTGAGGTGTTTGTTTCGCACGAAGAAGATGAAACTCAGTTAGCTGGTGATGAATGCCTGAGGCAGACATGCCCAGTCCCCGCTCAGGCCAACAATCCAGGCTCATTGACAAAGAGCGTATGAGGTAAGCATGCATCTAACTAAGGTAAGCAAGCTGGCTCAATCAGGATCATGGTATTTAGCCGCGTCGAGCTTTTCATGTTCAGGTACGCCATCTATAAAGGGAGGTGAGCCCGCATATCGTCGGCTTACAGGGCCTTTGTTCATCCATGGCGTGATTCGGCTACATGACTGCAACGTATCGGAATGCCCCCGCCATCTTAACCTAACCTAGATCTGTTTGGTTCTGAGAGCTTTCAGTATATTCAATTATTATTATTACTACAACAGCGGTTCGTCTTTGTCATTTATTTGTCAGCGGCCGTCGCGGCGACAGTACCTTAGATATCCATACTTAGGATCACTTCCTCAACTTGATTACCTACACCGGACACCGATCAGTCGATTTAGACCTCACATATAGCCTTATAAAGTCACAACAGCAAAATCTCTATTCCATTCACCTTGTCATTTTCTATTCATCGCTATATCACTACTACAAATCAAACACAACTACCCACATTTACCTAAGCTCATATCAAACATGGTCGAGCATTCTATCGAAACGCCACCAAGAGCGCCATCACCTGAACATGCGTTCGGCACCCTAGCAGTACATGCGGGATCACCACACGACCCTGTAACCGGGGCAGTGATCGAACCAGTAAAGTACTCTTTCTCCCTTCTCGAATTGACACCATGCTTACCACAACCAATTAGATAACCCTAAGCACGACATTTGCCCAATCGGCAGTAGGCCAACCCATAGGTGCATACGAGTACACCAGATCATCCAACCCGAATAGGCACAACTTTGAGACTGCAGTGGCTGCTTTGGAACATGCACGCCATGCCTTAGCCTTCTCATCTGGCTCAGCAACCACAGCTACGATCCTGCAGTCCCTTGCCACAGGCTCTCACGTGGTCTCCGTTTCAGATGTATACGGCGGCACGCACAGGTACTTTACAAAGGTCGCTTCTGCTCATGGTGTTCAAGTCACCTTCTCTCCTTCCATCGAACTAGATCTCGAGGAGCTCATCAGGCCAAACGACACCAAACTCATCTGGATTGAGACGCCATCGAACCCGACGCTCAGTCTCGTGGACATTAGAGCAGTGGCAGATATGGCCCACCGCCATGGTATTCTGGTGGTTGTGGACAACACCTTCCTCTCTCCCTATGTCCAGAATCCGCTTGATCATGGCGCCGACATTGCCGTCCATTCGGTTACCAAGTACATCAACGGGCATTCGGATGTCCTGATGGGCGTAGCAGCTTTCAACAGTCCAGACATCTACGAGCGTCTCTCCTTCCTGCAAAACGCCATCGGTGCTGTGCCCTCGCCCTTTGACTGCTGGCTCGCCCACCGCGGTCTCAAGACGCTACATCTGCGTGCCAGAGAGGCGACCCGCAACGCCACTCTCGTCGCGACGGCTTTGGTCACATCCCCCCATGTTCTCGCTGTCAACTATCCCGGCCTCGACAGTCACGCTCAGCGTCATCTGGCCCTCAAACAACACCGCAATGGAATGGGTGGCGGCATGCTCTCTTTCCGCATAAGAGGCGGACAGGAAGCGGCGAAACACTTTTGCCAGGAAACGAAACTCTTCACTCTGGCCGAGTCGTTGGGTGGTGTCGAGAGTCTCGTCGAGGTGCCGAGCAGCATGACGCATGCGGGCATCCCCAAGGAACAGAGGGAGCTGGCGGGTGTGTTTGACGATCTGGTGAGGGCCTCCTGTGGCGTTGAAGATGGCGAGGATCTGGTCAGAGATGTGCTTAATGCGCTTGAGAAAGTGGCTGGTGGCAAGTCTGCTGTTAGCAATGGAGACGGGCATGCAAGCAATGGCCATGCTTGATAGATGATGTACGGAGAGGAGTCTTGTTGCAAGCAGGAATGACATAATCGCAGCTGGTCTTATGGTAGCAAAACAGATTAGATGAGCAATAGACGAATGCCAAAGGGGGGATCGGTGTTCTGGTACAAGGCACGCAATGTTCACAAGTCTCCATGTACAACGCATCAAGTGTACACCTGACAACCTGCGTTCTTTTGAACAAAGGGGATGATGATACAGATGGAGCAATCCGAGCGAGCTAAAGCGAAGTAAAAACAAAAAGAGATGATGCGGTGGGCGAGGTTCGAACTCACGATTTCTGCTTCACGGTTTCCGTTTGCCAGAGACGGCAAGAGTGACTGGGAGAGCAGCGTCTTCACCACTAGACTACCACCGCTGCTTTGATATGATGCTACAGACCTGAGTAATAAATATATATGGTACAGATAGGAGCATTGATGAAAGCGGGAGGAAACATGCACGAAGTGAAAGGGGGTGTCTGAGCATTTAAAGAACATGTCTATGGAGAACATGTTTAGTCTTGATTCATTATTTGAGCTTTGCCTTCTTTGGGCCATTCCTTACGTTTGGCGATTTCAAACCCCCAATGTCGTCTCTATTTGTCTAGGATATGTATGACGGGGGACTACTTGTGATGCCGCCAAAATCTTCATCTGCGAGCTTAGTGGAGATGTGTGCCTGTGAATGCCCCCTTTCTTGATAGCTCAGATGTGCAGGAGTGCTATTGACTGGCCTAGGAGAGGGAACAGTCAATGTTTGTTTTCACATTGTCGAGAGAGGAGGTCCCTAGCTCGGGGACCTTTGTTCCTTCTGTGATGGCGCCGAGAGCCTTCTTGCTTAGCCCAGGGCACATTTGTGGATGCTGGTGGTAAGGTATATCTTGGAGATGATAGAATTATCTTCAACCTTCAATAGTGGCTACGATATTTCAAGAAACGTCCATGGCGATCTGGAGTTGCTGCTCGGCGACCTCTTCTTCGTGGGCAATGTCGGCCAGGGTAGATTTGTCGTGGTTGGCCTCTCCGGAAGCGACTTTCTCGCGGATTCTCTGCTGCCATTCTTGCAAAGTCTCGACGGGACCGCCTTCAATCTTGATGGGTCTGTCTTCGGCGGGCTTACCGAGGACAGTGCCCTGGTATCTGGACTCCTCTCCGGTCTTGCTATGCTTCTTTTTGAGAGCTGTCAAGTAGTCCTCCCCTGCAACAATTCCGCCGGGGCCAATCTCAGGTAGAACGCCAGCAATTCTCCGAATCTCCTTGTTCTGCTCTCCCATGATCCATTGGATAAAGGCTTGAATGTCGGCAGTATCTTCTTGAGCTCTTCTGTTGATTTCACCGGTGCGCCTCGTGTCGCCATGCTTCATGTCGTCGTAGTCGGCCATGTCGCGACGGAACTTTTCGGTCCAGTCTTCTTCGGCGCTGCTCATGAGCGGAACGAGGGCGCCACATTCGGCAAGAGCTAAGCGCACATCAGTGACAGTAGGGATGTTATCGTTGTGGTTGTCGAGAGCATGTTTCAGAGTCGTCTCGGCGAGCAGCAGCAGATATCTCTCGGCGATATTCACTAGCGTGTCCAGCACAGAGGGTCGCGTAGAGTGGAAGCCGGCGGCGCGCAATATGTGGATAATGGGCATACGCAAGAGGGACGAGTGGAGGTGTTGTGCGGCTGACATTTTTGATTCTGAGATTGATTTTGCTTGTCACACTATGCCCTGACTACGACAGCTTCACACATGCAGCAAGCAGCATGACGCGCGCTGTCGTTATGTAAGGAGGCAAAAGGCGGTCGTTGTGATTGACTCTTGACAATCAAAGTCGGTGGTGATTGCTTCCGTTGTATTGAAGTCCATCTTTCACATGTCAAGCACCGGTATCTGCCGACTCTTATAAGCGCTGCCGCTGCGTCACTTCCACCTACAGTGACTTATCGCAATCATCGTTTACCTTGATCCACAGCACTACCTGTATTTCAGTGTCAGTCGTGTGCCATCATGAAGATCAAGCTCAAGTCGTCAGGAGCAGGAGATACGTCATCATCAGTGCCCTCGACGCCAATTGCAGAGACTCCCACAGTACACACTCCAGCACTCGGCGCTAAACCAAGAATCAAATTCAAGACTTCGCAACCTCCCACTCCGGCCACTGAATCCACTCCCGCTCTCGCTCCACTCGCTGCGCCATTAGGACCTCCACCTACCAAGCCTCTCAAGAGAGCATACGTCAAGAAACCAAAGCCTGACGGACCGGCTGATGGATCCAACAAGCGCACTGCATTAGACGATATTGCACCAACTCCAAAACGCCCAACCCTCTCCCTCAGTACCAGCAGCAGCCGACGCCCCTCTATCAAGCAAGAAGCCGACGACCATGACCTTCACGTGCCCACGCCAACTTCAACAGGCGGCCCAAAACTATCCCTCAAAAGAAAGCTTCAGCAGCAGCAGCCAGACAGGAGAGATAGCACAAAAAGAATCACCTTCAAACAAAAGAGAGCTGCTCCGCCAAAGCGTCCTGTCGGCGTGGGCTACGACTCCGAGGCCAGTGATGCTGAAGAAGATCCACTCATCGAGTCTCAATTCGTTCTGCGCATGCAACCCGGCCAAGACTGCGACTACCTCCGCGATGCCATCGCGAACAAGACTCTTGGTGAGCCCCGCCATAACGGAGGCGCAGACGTGAGTCTGAAGTTCCTGGACAAAGACATGCGTCGCGTCATCATAAACATCAGAGGCAGAAACTACGCCGCTGCCATGGTTGATCTTCCCTGCGTCATCGAATCAATGAAGAGTTGGGACAAGCGTGGATGGTGGAAGGTGGTAGACATCTGCCAAATGATGCTCGTTCTGGGTCCCACCGAGAACGACGACACCGCCAGGCTCCATCCTCTTCCCAAAGATGTCGACAAGAACAATTGGGCATACGCACACGGTCTGACCCCACCCATGCACTACGTCCGCAAGAGGAGATTCCGTAAACGCGCAAGCTACAAGACCGTCGAACACATCGACGAAGAAGTCGAACGCCTCCTCAAGGCCGATGCAGAAGCCACCAGCTCGTCCTACAAGATCGTCGACGACGCTGTCGATGACGATGCAGATGCCGACGCCGATGCTGCGCCCGAAGACGAATACGAGGACGAGAACGACCCCGACAATTACATCCGCACCACCGAGAACGGCTACGGTGAATACGATTACACCCAGGAGCCAGAAGAGGACGACATGGATCTGGAGAGAGATCTGGAAGCCGCATTGGAAATGGGCGAAGACGCTGATTCAGCCCTTCCCGTTGCAGACGCAGCCGCAAGCCTTGGTGCCGTCGAGACCGCCATTATCCAAGGTGCACAGGAAGCTTCTTCTGTCGATACACCGCTCCCCGCTCTCTCAACAAACATTTCGTCCTCATCCACCGCACCCACCCCTCATGCTCCTGCCGGTCCAGAAGCAGAGTCCGAGGACGACGATGATGACGACGATGACGATGAGTCTTCCGACGAGGACGAAGACTTCACAGCCATCGACGAGGATCTGGTGGCCCGAGAAGCCGAGCTTGAGGGTCAACGCCAGGACATTGAGGAGTTGGAGAAGCGCATCGCACAGGCAAAGGCTGACATACAGAGCCAGAAGAACCCTCTGCTCAAGCAACGCAAAATGAAGACTCTCAAGGACCTGGAGGATGAGTTGGAGGTCAAGAAAAAGGCCATTGGCATGGGCGACGATGACGATGATTAGGTGCGCTGGAAGAGAGGAAGGATAGCTTATGATACCCCTAGTGCTGAAACCAAGACCGTCACTGTTTCGAACACCGGTGCACCTGTTTCTATCGTACACTCGTCCATGTATCTACTGATCTATGTATGTATATCTGGCGACGCTTTTTTTCAGCCCTATGGCTCATGCATTTTTTTGCTACACGAAAAAGGTACCAAGTAATGCTATGCAGTGGGTATGATTGAATTTATAAAAGCAGGAAGAAAACAAAGCCGCAGATCGGAATCTGCACAATCTCTGAATTTCCTCTTTTTCATTCGTCATCGTTATGCATTTCATGCCGAGCGTCAACTTTCCCTCGCGTCCTTTTCTATTATCCTCTCTCTCTCTCTCTCTTTTATCTCTTGCCCTCTCTCTTACCTCTTTCTCTCTGCATGCCCTTGAGCGTCTAAGGTACCCAGCATGCAGAGAGACAAGGGTAGTGGGGTATATAGCAAAATCAACATGTCCTGTTCTGTCCTCGCGTCTGTAGAATCAGTCCCAAGTCTTAAGCTAAATTATGCTGTGCCGTGCCGTTGCGCTCTTGCAAGCATCCGGTTCTTCCCCTTTTTGGTTCCTTCTGTAACGAGGCTGCAAGTGATGATGAGTCCTACGCTCCATCCGTCATTTCGACATCCCTTCGCTCTTCCACGACACCGTCGACGTCTGCACCCGCTTCTTTATCGGCGCCACCAGCCGCTTTCTCGGCTGATGTGATAAGGCCATCGCCTGCTCTTACGCTGTCGATCATCTGCTCCCTCTCTCCCTCTACAGCAGCTGGCGCTCCGCTCTTCTCCCTGGTAGCCACAATGCCACCAGCGGAAGATCCGGCGGCGGCAGCGGCCTCTTTTCGCTCGTTAAGCGCCTCAATCTTGACCTCCGGCGGCGCTCTGGCCTCGGACCCCACAGGGGGGAAGAAAGCCTGCGCCATGTTTCTCGCGCCAGCCGGTCCGCCGTCGATACCGTATGGGAAGATCTTGCGCATATTGGCTGCGTGTCTATCTTGTATACTAGCGTCCCTGGGCTCGTAGTCTTCCACGTGGCTGTCCTCGCCTTCGTCATCCTCGTCATGGCCGTCAACCGTACCGTGTGCAGGGGTGGAGGGACTACCATGAGACCGGGCGTGATCGTCATGGTCGTGCTCGGAGTTGGAGTGCGGTGTACCGTGTGATCTGTCCTTGTCGTCCACGGACGCCTCTTTGCTTTGACGTTCTGCCTCCTTTTTAGCGTGGACTTTTTTCAAGTTCATGGCCGACGAGACAGAGCGCATGTCTGGACGTCCATCTTTGCGAATCAGAACGCCATCTGCGTTGCGAATGGGTTTCGTGCGCGTCTTCTTGGTGGGTTGACCGGCTGGTGACATGCCGGCTGAAGAAGCAACGTCGGCGGTTGTGGTTATAGGCATGAAATGAGGGTCTGGATAAAGAGAGGCTTGTGGTAATTGGGTTTCTGAGCCTGGCATTAACGCTCCAGGCGGTGCTCCGAGCATTGGGCGGTCAGAAGGTGAGCCTGCGTGACCGCCACCTCGGCGGACGAGATTGCCTCTGATTGCTGCATCATGGGCTTGTGCCACTGTGCCGGGCTGATAATAACCGTTTGGTGCGATCTGACTGCCCGTCCAACACTCT